ACACACACACACACACACACACACACACACACACACACACACACACATATATATATATATAGAAAGAGAGATGACAGCTAAAGACCATGTTTCTCACATGATTGAAATGTCACATTTGAAAGGGTTCTCATGAATTGCAAGGTGACAGTGTTTGAATCATCATCTGTCACCGAAGGCACACAAACAGATCTCGGCTTTATCTGCAGAAGAACAAATGACTGATGCAGTTGGCTTCACATCCTGCAATAAACGTCTACAAATCAGATTGACAGTCAGTATAACATTGCACTTAAACCACAAGCTCCCTGCTGAATGTAAGTGCCAGAGAAATATGCATATATGAAAGATTGTTTATGGCAATATTGCTGCTTAGTTTCAACATGACATTAAACCCCTTAACTTTACTTAAAATGTGTGGATTTTGAGGATACACAAACTGTTTGTGCTATATTAAAAACGTTTCACTCAGCTTTCACCCTTCTGTAACATCAAATATCTCATTTGCCTACAACAGACTTAATTACAGCTTAATAGTATATGTGAGGAGCCACACTCTGATTTCATGCTTCAAATGGGATTTGGAGCATATGTTATAATCCTTGCACAAAATCACTAAATAATAATATGGGTTAATTAAAGCTTATATCCCACATAATCCTAATGATTCACTCTGTTTTGACTCCTGAGGTATTAATAAAGCAAAAAATTAAAATCATTGACAGATTTGCAGCAGCTAAGGGCACCTTTAAGCGCCTGAAGTGTTGTCATTACTCAAATCAGATTTATTGCCAACATTGCACACATGCATTTGTTCAGTCATGTTTTATGCAGCAACATTTAAAGTGAGTCAATCGACAAACCGTGTGGTAGAAGCGTTTGCCCATTTCTTTCACTGGTCAGGATTCTGCAGCATCATCATCAACAGTGCGGATTTGATTTGATATGATCTGACTCAACTAATGTATAATCTTCCCATATTTGGGCTGCTTTGTATTCCCCATTCCAAGTGCTCCAGGGTAGCATAGCACACACTGTGAGATACCCAACCGCTGATTCCATTAGGCTGTTTACCAGGCAGCTTCTCCTTCTTATCTACTGAAATTATTCAAGCATACAGGAATTCATAAAGCAGAGTAACTGGACTGCTTTGTCTGAATTACTCCTGGGTGGGTCATATCTCAAATGGCTCTGCAGTGGTCTAGGTCATGTCTGAACATTTTCTAGTGTTCATTGGTGGCCACAGCTCCCCTTGCTCTATTCCTCAGAAGGGTCCCTCATCATATATGCTCCCTGTTGACCACATAACATAACATTTCCTTCCATGGGTCCTATACCAGCGGTACCCAACTTTTTTTGCACCACAGACTGGCTTATATCTGACAACAGAAACCTTGAAAACTATAAATTTACACCTGAACCTCAACTCGTACTGGTCTGTGGCCTGGCTTGTGGACCGCTGTCCTATACAATTTAAGTTAGGACGTGACTATTTGAGCAGCCATCCATTGTGCCACAGTTTCAAATAATGGAGTAGAAGAAAGAATGTGAATATTGTTTACCCTAACACTAGCACAACACAGCAGTATCCATAACACGAACTGCACATTAGGTGAGCTTATATGGAGGTGAGTATCCTGCTTACAGTCAAGTTCTGAAGCACTCCATTCCTGTGTTTATGTTAGTTTTAAACAAAATGACATTTAAGCCTGTAAGCTGCAGCATTTTGAAAGAAACCAGGATACCGCTGCATGTATACATTGTATTCAGACAAGATCCTATACACCTTAAGCCAGCTGAGGTATGATAACACAGACCACAGCAGCAAAAAGGAACTGAGAAAGAAACTGGTATCTTGAATTATGATGTTTTGTACATATGCTTGATGTCTATCAAGCATAAGTACATGAAGTGCTCTAAAAGTGGACATGGAACTTTAGTTACCTCAACTGGAGAAAGTACTTTATTAAACCAGGCTTTCATTTGTAATCCCTTCATTGTAGTAAAAAGCCTTGTTTCTCTCTGTTCCTGTTTGACACATTAAACTTATTGCATTTTGTGATAATACTAAACATCCTGTAGCCTTTTCATATTAAAGGAGAGATCCTTCTTTACTTAAACAGACACTATTAAAGGACGGTGAAGCAAAGCCATTTTCAAAACATTAAAACACTACACTAAAATAATGAAAGCATTATATTGTTAACGCACTAAAATAAATTCTCACTCCTGCTGCCGTCCCGCTGAAGTCACTGTTCGTCATTCCTTTGTGTGCGTGTGTGTGTTTTAATCACTGAAATGAGGAACATTTGCTCCATATGTTTGATCTTAACCAGCCGGAGAGAAATGCAAGTTGTTGATGGTTTAATGTGCTGCACATGAGCAGGTAATTAGCTATCTAGTGTGCAAACTGATCGTAGCTGTGCAAATTTGTTTGGCAGCTCATTTAACAAGCTAAGGTGCAGAAAGAAAAGCCCGATAAGAAGTCTTCAGCTGGAAGGATGTGAGTAGGTTTTTTAAAGGTTTGTGTGTTATGTGAGGCTGACACGTGGTTCATTCTAACTATCTGCCTTTGCTGTGACACAAGACTGAAATGACAACGGTATATGTTAAGATAACGCAATATAAGGCTCCATAATTTAGAATATTCCTGACATTTTCAATAATTCACATACATAAATACATAATTTGTTATATTATCATTGCAAGTATGTGTGTGTGATTTTTCCTTATTTATTTATTCTTTGTTTGTTTTATTTTTTTCTTTATGAAAGGAAGCATATGTTTGTGCTTATATCTGTTTAATCTATCTTTTAAACTTTTATGCAATTTCTCCTTTTTAAAGGCACAGTGTGTAAAATTTGTCCACCACAATATACAGGTACATTTAGTAAAGAAAATAAGAGAAAAAAATACTATACAAAAATCAATACATTTCAATATCGCTACCGTTCTGATTCATTTACATATTGAAAGGGAGTGGGAAGAGCACTCCACATGTCTGTTGAGTGCCGTAAACTGAATTCTGTTTTTTCACATCCCAGTTCAAATGCATTTGCCACTGTATGACAAATGTCATTTACCTCAGCTGTCAATATGACTGCAGTGTCAATTTGTCCGGTGTCCTGGGAGTCCGCTATAAGTCAGCGTGTCATCGAAACTGATGACAAACTGATTACAGCGATACCGAGGTGAGTTGTTGAGGATATCCTGAACATTTCTGTCAGTAAGCACTGCTGTTAGCTGCTGTTAGCTGGGATTATTGAAACTTTATTTGAAGTGGATCTACCAATGATAGACTCAGGCACTTAGCGAATAAACTCTCTTATGATGTGAGAATGTAATCAAATTGTTTTTCAGAGGGAAAATGTGATTTTTAGGATACTCAAACCTAATGTTAGCCACCATAATGTTAACTTACAACCTTCTTGTTGTTCTTTAGCCAACTCATTGTCACCTGTCCGGAGATGGGAGAATTTTGTGTCTGATCTGCTGACAATAAGTAATTGCCACAATATGAGACATAAATAGGCATGTTTATGCACATTTTCATGTGTTAGAGCCATGAGCTCAGCTCATTATATAATGCTTGAAGTGAGAAAGATGAGGAGGTGGAAAATGAGGGAGGAAGAGAAAGAAATTATGTAAATATACATGTCCAGTCTGCATGCCAAGTGTCCTTGGGCAAATATACTAACCCCATGTTGTTCTCCGGTGCATCAACTGGAGTATGAATGTATGTGGATAAAAATTAGGAAGCACTTAGAAACAGTAGAAAAGGGTGCATTGTGCAAACTGATATGAATGGGTGAATGTACAAGTTGTGTAAAGCGCTTTGAGTGCTCAAGACAGAGTAGAAAAGCTCTATATAAGAACCATTTACCTTATTTGTGGTGGTCAGGCAGGTATAGCACTATTGGACAGGTAGAAAATTTTACAAAATACTTGCTATCTAACTATAATGGGCTAATCTCCAATACTCAAACCCATTTAAAGAGAGTGAAAGAGAGAGTGAAAGCATCAAAACCGCTGCCTAACCAGTTTAATGGATCACCCAGAAAGCTCCTGCTCCTTCAGGCTGTATTTCATCCCTTGAGTTCGACCTTAAAAATGTCATCTTAAACTCATGACTTCCTTCAGGGTTAAATAACAGCTTACCTTGATCCAGATCATACTCTTCCGTGGTGCTGACAAAGTGAGGTCTGGAGTAAAAGTTATGCGGCCCCGGCTGCTGGAGGCCCCCAAGGCTGAAGAGGCTTCGCTCATTTGAAGCACAGCAGGAAAAGACCCTCCGGCTGGGGATGCAGGAATAACGTGTCCAGCTCTTCATCTCCAGGTCAAAAGCCTCCAGTGCTGTCACCGGCATCTTTCCCTGGCGACCACCTGGAGGAGAGGGGAGAGAGATTCAATGAATTTATGATTATGACAAAGCTTTACAATTACAAGAGATTCTATTAAAATCCAGAGAAGTGAAATGTGAGCGAACTGACAAAGTCACCTGTGTATTATCATGAAGACATGGAAACTGCATGCCCCTTCTCATAAATGAAATATATTCCCAGAAATATTATCATGTGCACAAACAACAAGCCAAGGACAAATGCAAATTTTCTGTGTGACACTGTTTGTCCCTGTTTCCATTTCCTGTTTCATTGCTTTTTAATCCCCAGTGCCTGTCACATAGTTTCCTTGGCATTTATGTCAAAGTCTAGCGAGTGCACAGACCAGCGCTGGGACCACATTTCATTTTGGGCTGAAAGGAGAGCACAGCAGCAGGGAGCTCCCCTAGGACACTTAGGAGTTGTTTACTTCCACAAATCATAACTTAACCTTGTAAAATACGACTACAAGGGGAAGGCAAGCTTTGTGAGACAGAGAGAGAGAGAGAGAGAGAGAGCCTGCGTGGAGCGGGCAGTAAGAGTTTGAATGATGGGAACAGGGGGGTTGAAAGCAGCGCAGCACTGTGGGGGCCAGGGGTGAGAGGCAAATAGGGAGGGAGGCAGCGGAAAAAGAAGGGGGAAATGTAAAGAATATGAGAGAGTGACAGAGAAATTATAGAAAGCATTATAGAAAGAGAAGAACAGAATGTGGAGGAGTGAGAGAAGAAAGTGGAAGAGGGTCAGCTGGAGTGGGCAGAGTGGCAGAGAGATCGATAGCAGTAGCGAGACAAAGAGTCGAACTGTGTGGGAAGCATTACATGTGAGAAAAAGAGATTCCATGCAAAAGATTTGGTTGATTGGAGCAGAATCTACTGTGTATGGTTTTCCTTGAGAGTACATAGTTCACATATGGTTTTAGTGTTGCTGCAATACTCCACAGACTAACATTTTGGCAAAAGTGTAAAACAGAGAATCTGGACTGCTGCACTACTGAAGGAGACAGCTTTTGCACAAATCTACATATAATCACGGGTCTGAGCTGCATTCTAAACCAAATTCAGCTCAGCAAAAATAAGCCATCTGTATAATCTATATAACAGATGTATCTCTGTTATGTAGATTATACATAACAGACAGAAATCTGGACAATAAAAAAAAACAAAAAAAAACAAAAGAATCCATTAGTCTTTAGCCCATTGCTTCATGAGCCTCCATAGCTAAAGGTAGAAGCCAGCGCTAAGGTACAATCATATAGCGGGAGACCCATGCATAATCAGCCTTACTGTATTATTAATATTTTAATTTGTTCCATTTTCTTACTTGGTTCTTTTAACGAAGATGAATTACGGTTAATTGATTTTCTGAATAGCTTTTTTTTATTAGCAACTTGGTTAATTGTTATGACTGACAGATGCTGAGAATGAAGGAGCTTTGCAGACCACCATTTAGGATCGGTATGTAAGAGCATCAAAGGACTGTTTCATGAACTGTGTTGTTCACTGTTGTCTGTTTCAACAGCTGACAAGCTCCAAACACAATTTATCTATGTGTTATTTGTAGCTAGTTAGTGAGAAAATACTAATCCTGCTAATCATTAATAATTATTTTGTGAGCATCCACAACAGTCCTAGAGAATGAAAGACCAATATCAGTAATACCAATACCAATCAATACCACATCTCCAAGCACCAGTCACTACTGTACAGGTTAAAATTACAGTCTGTCACCAGTGGAAGACAACAAGCATCCATTCCTACTATACTTTGGCTCTACATTTGTACAGAGACAGGAAAAAGTGAAATTACATCCATTAAAATATGTTAATGTAGCAACAGTAAACTCCACCAACCTAATTAAACATTAGCTACCACTGAATCTGTGTCTGGGCTTTGTAGCCATTTTAACATCATAACATTTTAAATTGGCGTAATTAACATAGCAATTATTTTTAAAAAAGACTAAAGCATCCAAAACTAAAAAACTATTGCAAGCACCAAAACCTGCAGTGTATCAAATGGCCTCCTAAGGTGATATTAGTATCGCATTCAGCATCACTGCTTACCAAGCTAGCCAGTATTGGCATAAGCTAAATTTCTCCAGGTATACTTTGTTGGTGAAATATGATCGCACGTGATTTCAAATCCTAACCTTCAGACTTCTATATGATATTACACAGAGAATAAATGAATAGGTTGGGTCTCAGGTGGGTATCTGAAAAACATTAGCATGTTAGCACTGTAGAGGTGCAGTAAAGTCGCAGTAAACATTTGGGTAAGGGTAACATAAAAATAACATAGTGGCAGAGGTGTGCTCCCTGGCTCAACTGCAGGGGAGGAGTGGTGCAGTGAGCTCAAGGGGGCAATGCCAGGGAGGCAGGTGAGAACACAGCTGGCGGTGTTTGGACTGATGAGTCTTTTTTCCTCTTTTTAGTGAGGCAGGAGACGAGAGACGGGGTTGTTGGAAAAGCTGAGACCAGCGCTGACCAGACTGTGGGTTGTTGCATAAAGAACCCTAAATAAACGAGACATCTCTGAGCATAAACAATGTGTGTGTGGAGTGCATTCTACAAATGTAAATTATAGAGCCTTCCTTATTTTTTTAATATAACCAATACTATCGGTGTAGCAATATTAGCTATTTGCTGATCAAAACTGTCATGTCAATTGTCAACAAATTTAAAATTTAAAAGAAGTAAGGAGGAGACAGGAGATCCACCTTTAGCGCATAAATGACTAAATAAATACCTACACATTGTAAATCTTAAGGAAAACTGTTTGTTTCATGTGTTAAAAATAATTTACATAGACATTCATTAGAGCAAATATACTAATATACATTTTTCAGTTGTAGCTATTATTAACTAAAACATCTTGTTTAACTTTATTTTATGAGTAAGTTAGCTACTGCTGTGCCAGATTGCTGTTGTCCTCTTTCATATTGTTTGCTCTTTAATCATGTCCATTCTGTGTTCCACATTGGCTGATAAGGAATATATATTACATTGTGGTTCAGTAACAAATGGTTGAAATGGTATATGTATGTTGCTGTAAGCATTTCTCACTTTTGCCTCCAGCAGAAGCCAACACTTGGATGTCTCCCAAACTGCCAATAAAAAAAGAATAAGCAGGAAAACTGCCGTGTAATGGTGTGCATTCTGAGATTTGTGATGCTTGTTGTTACAGTAATTCACCAGCTATCCAAGATTCTTACTGGGGGTGAAAGTACAGACTGCTGGCTGGTTAAACACCATTTATGATTTACTTGTTGACCTGATGCAGTAAATTCAGTGGTAAAAATGAAGATGTTTGTTTTTGTCATGATTTAGATTCTTTATCATTATTTGCTGCTGATGAAGTGTGGTGCAGTATTCATCCAGTGCTGTGTGTGTTTTTACACTAGTGTATTTGTTTCACTGAATAATCTTTTTCATCATCCTTCACTTTGCTGACAACTGTTTTTCAGCTGCACGTGTGCTGATTGCCAACCACGACGCTGCTGCAAAATCCTTGATGTGTACTGTGAACACACGTAGGCACGTAGGCACACGAATTTCAAAGCGCTAGGAAGCCTCGTGAGTTACGTCATTTGCCAGCAAGGCCACTGTTGACTGGGAACACAGGGAATTTAAATGAAAAGAGGTTCAAGCACCCGCTGAAGAGAACAACCCCCTCAAGTGCAGCAGCAGCTGTAGAAGCAGCATGAATGTACAAGGTACGGTAAAGCTTTAACGCAATCCCAGCGAGAAGACATTACAGTCACAGAGAGAGAGAGAGAGAGACAGCTTAAAAAAACAGCATAAATTATTTATATTCTCTTGGTATATTACAAATTAGTCTGTGTCTAATGTGATATAATATCATTAAACTCCATCTGTGCACAGACCACGTGGCTGCACTTCTCTGTCCCATGCACTTCCCGACATCATTAGCTGCAGCCACACCAACATGAATGAGTTTACTCTTCTACTTAAAACTTAAAGATTTTCTTTGTTTGTGTTTGGATTTTTTTTGTTTATTTGTTTTTGTGGCTATTTTTACTATACCATGTGATTTTGTTGAAACTTAGGAGTTGGTTTTAAAGAAGCCAATCTTTCCTCTTCTCCACTAAAGCAGCTGATATGCAAACATTTGTTGTCCAGGACACCAAGCAGAGGTGGAAAGTAGATGAAGTACACATATTTTGTTACTATAATTATTTAGAAGTGTCATATTTAATTGATATCTGTACTTCTGAATTTATTTTACATTATTTGCCATTTGTTTTTACTCACTACATTTTAACACAAAATCTCTACTTTCTGCTCCTCACAATTTTAAAACGGGAATGCTTCAATAAACTTTAAGACATGTGGTGGGAGTTATTATTTCCTGTCATAATATGCCTGCAAACATCAAACTGATTTTAAGTTAAATGAAGCAAACAATAACATACAAAAGACATCATTTATAGGACAATCTTCACAGGATAAAGTTAGCCTGATTCATTTGAGATAGTATTGAAGAGCATAAAGTGACTGCATTTTTTTTAACACGTTATTTCAAATGCTGTATCTCTTACTGCTCAACAAATATCTGCAAACACACAAACACTGTGCAGTTTGACATACGATGCCTGCTGCCTAAAAGTACAAAAGTATTGTTGTGTGTTGGACCGGTGGCCGTGGTGTTCAGTGTTAGGTTACATCATAGGTAGCAGACACTGAATTACATTTAAGGTGCTATGCCATTTCTTATAATAATAATAATAATAATGGATTGGATTTATATAGCGCTTTTCTAGGCACCCAAAGAACTTTACAATACCACTATTCATTCATTCTCACATTGGTGGAGGCAGCTACAGTTGTAGCCACAGCTGCCCTGGGGCAGACTGACAGAAGCGAGGCTGCCATATCGTGCCATCAGCCCCTCTGGCCAACACCAGTTGGCAAGTAGGGTAAAGTGTCTTGCCCAAGGACACAACGACCAGGACAGAGAGCCCAGGGAAGGTTACAGATGCGATCCCCAACCCCCTGAGCCACGGTCGCCCCCTTCTACTGTTTGCCAGACTTTTCTTTGCATTGTCTTAGCACATTTTGAACACATCTTCTTTTTAGTTTGAGTTTAGTTTGAGTTCATTTAGACAAAGGAGAAGATGCTGCATGTCTGAATTATCAGTCATGGATGGTTCTGAGTCTTAGAGACAGGTAACAGAGTGTACTTGAGCCATTAGTTTACAAACCTTTAGTTGCTTTAACATGACTAAAATCCTAAATTCAAGTCTAACTTAGGTCAGAAAAAGAGCCTTTAAAATGATGCAGTGCTAAAAGAGTGCAGGATGCGCCTGCACATCTGTTGTTTTTACGTGAATATAGAATTCTGTTTGAAGCCACATTGCCCAAATGTCGGCTTGTTTACCTGATGATGAAAGGGAGGTCACTTTGTGGCAGACAGCAATCATTTGTCAGGGTGATGGATGTTGTTGTTTGACCTGTGATAAACTGATTTCTTCACCATATATATATCAGTGTTACACTGAGTCATCAGATAAATGAACACCATCTGAACTCCACCTGCTTTGACCTCGTCTCTCTCTGTTTTCTCACACTTTATAACTCATGTGTGGGAGAGCTCATTACGAGGCAAACGGATATTCCCCAATTAATCTTTTAAAACACAGGAAACACTGATACAAGAAACACAGTGTTTCTTGTATCAGAACACTTTTGCATTGTTGTCTTAATTTCACTTTTATTTGTTTTTCCATCAAGTCAAGCAAGATTAAAACTTATTAACTGACAAACTTCTACCTACCAACAGAACGTCAGTCCAATATTTATGCTCCATATACCTGAGATAGAAGGGAAGCATCAGCTCAGTTTAAGGTACAAAAAGACCTTTAGGTGACTATTTAGGTCATTTACCCCCCTGATATGACCAATACCAGCAGTAGACATCAACCACCAACAATAAAGATCACTCTTATCCAGATATGTGACAAAACTGTTAGATTTAGGCACAGTCATTTGGTTTGGATTAAGAAATTGCTTCTTTGTTGCCAATAATAACAACATTACAGTAATATGCAGTATACCATAGCATAGGCTTAGGTTAATTTGTGGAAAAGTAATTATTAAGTAATAATTAAAAAGACTGGTTTGAAACAAAGGTCTCCATGTTACAGTGACCCATTAATCAACCCTCTTACAGCACAAGAGGACATGTGAATCTTTTGGGGGCATTTGACAGATGACTGCTGTGTCTCAAAACTCACAGAGTTCATTTGGAAATGAAATGTAAACACATTTTAAACACTAAAATTTTAAGTGTTGAAATAACCTCCAATTACTTTAAACAAAAAAATATTGATGGGTTACAAAGTCATTTCTAAGGTTTAGGGCGCTCGAGTAAATGACAGAGAAAGCCTTTATCCTTTAACTGGAAAACTTGAAACACTGGTGAAACTTCCCAGGAGTGGTCGGTCTGCCAAAATTACTCCAAGGATGCATCAGTGACTCATAAGATAAGAACCCAGAACAACATTTAGATATATGTTGGCCGCACTTGTGTCAGCTAAGCTCAAAGTTCATGATTCAACAATAATTAAGAAACTGCACAAAAATGACATCCCTGTGGGAGGTCCAAGGGAAAAACCAATGAAAAAGACTAATTTCACATTCACTAAAAATCCATTGTAATGATGGGAACATGCTTTGTATTCATATCAAGAACTCCCTGAGTAAAGGTGGTTATCCCACCTGGACATTTGTTGTCTGGGAAGCTGGGAAGGCACCTAAAGAGAGCTCCAGGCAATCCAGGAGAGACAACTGCTGCCTAAGCACAAACCCTTAGTGATCCCTTATGTGTCAGGAGCATGGGAAAAGAGCTGAGATGCATTTTCTCTAAACACTCTGTGGCTTTCAAAACCTAAAACATGCTGCGCCAAAAATTGTCCACCCCAAGTATTCGGTCTCACGGCACAAACAGAGTAATGTAGTGTATGCTGTTAGGTGCCAGGAGGTTGCCATGCAACAACCTCTGGCTTTGCAGATGGCCCAACACAGAATAGCCACCTCGTCAGACCAGGTCTCTGCAGTCTATTTACACCTACAGGCCAGTGGACACTCTTTCATTGATGAGGATGTGCACATCCTGGACAGGGAGGAACGCTGGTTTGAGCACAGAGTCAAAGAGACCATTTATGTGAAAAGCGAAAGACCATCTCTGAATCGAGGAGGGGGCCTAAGGCTACATCTTTCACCATCTTAAAATACTGTGATTGCAACCATTCCTCAACTATCTGTGAATGGTACTCATGGCCATTGATGATTGGTCTTTGATCATTGGTTGTTGATCGATGGTCATGCCATTTTGCATATTAATGATCAAGAAACAAACCTCCCAGCCCATTGTTTGGCACTGGTGCCAGTTTCAGTCCTTATGCAAATGTTCTGTTTAAAAGATTAGGGAAACCTGCAGTGAGCTGAGACTGAAGAAGTCACTTGGATGAGTGACGAAATGAACATACAGGCCTAGTATATTAAAATATGAATTTAATAAGAGGTACGTGAAATGATTAACTGTCAATATCAACTAGTGGTATTAAAATATGGATTAAACCTGAAGGTAGAATTTTGGCAAAACAGCAGGTTCAGACATCAGTCTTTGCTGAACCTGCACCTGTTCGCCTGTTCACCTGTTTTATTAGACCTGACATGGTCAGAGCTGCGTTCCCTGCTTACTCATTGTCACAGCTTTATTAATGTGTTTTTCATACTTCTTCTTTTCTACATCATGCATGATAGGCAGGGTGGTTTGCAAGAGGAAATTCATCTGTTACAAAGTTAAAGTACAGAAGCTTATTTAGTTGATAATGCTAGCTGTGTTTCTGATCTGAGCGTGGTAAAAGCAGACCAGCAGCAGTTTGTCCACAATGTGCATGTGCAAAGCACCAGAAAAATAACTGCTGGCCTCTTGCCCAGCTTCTGTCATTGTAAACAGGAGATAGACACACTCTCACAGACAGACAACTATACTTTGAGACTGATGTAAGAACAGCTTTCAGTAGAAATACCAAATGGTAACACAAGATGGCAGTGATCTAAAGGTTGGGTGCACATATTAAATGACAGTTAAGGAGCTTTAAGACAACGCTGTCTGAGACTAAAAGGAGAGAGATCAGCCTAATGGAGCACCACTGGCAGGAAGTCATGTATTTCTCTACAGCTTTAAGGTAAATGTCAGTATATGCTAACACGCACATGCTAGCAGTATAACATCTGCATGATGTATTTCCTACCCATCACGTAGATTTTGGTTCCTCTTACGAAGGGCGTGGCTCCATACCGCGGTGTGGGCATAGATGTCATTGGGTGCCATTGGTCCTTCTCTGCATCATACACCCTAACCAGGGCCTGTGGTGTTGTGTCTGCACCCATGCCCCCCAGCGCATACACCTTTCCATCTGCAGAGAGAAAAGAGAAAAAAAAGAGCTTATTAAGAGCTTTTTAAAGGATCTCATTACACTCTACTCTTAGTTCAACAGTGTTCAACTGTGGTCAGTATATTTGTTCTCAGCCTTGTTAAGCTAATGTGCAGTGAACTGAGGAAAAAACGCTGCCAACACCTCTCCGAAGGGCCAAGAGCTGCACTCTTTCATCTCGCCATTTCTGCTCTATCTGTCATGATGGCTATCCGTCTCATCCGTCTACAGTTATCCAAACAATCTGCAATATCTATATCAAAAAACTGCCACACCAACAACTTTTTTCCACAAGGACACACACAAACACTCCTAAATGCTGCAGTGTCATTAGTATATACAGAAAGGCAAGGGGGAAAGAGAGGGGAAGTGCTGAGCCAGCAAAGAAGGTGCTCCTGGTGATATACTGCAGGAGAAGGGGAAGAAAGGAAGAGGGAAGAGAAAAGAGAACAAAACGTAACAGAACAGAACTGATGAGAGATGGAGATTAACAGCCCATTAGTGCTCTAAGAAGTCGTGACAACTTAAATGTGGAGAAAGAGAGGGGGACAAGACTAGAGGGAACAGAGCAACTCAGTGAGCCAAGCAGATGGTGAACCAAGGAAGCTGTGACTTAAACTGTGAAGAATAGAGCAATAATAAATCTGTCACTCAGAATGCTATCCTCACACAGTTCAACACTTAGGACTGACTAAATCCTATTTTACTATTGTACATGGAACAAGTGGTGCAGCAAGAACACTGTCATTGTGCATATCATGTGGCAAGACTGGAGCAAATATATACATATATAAATATATATATATATATATATGTATATATATTTCACTGTGACGTTGCAGGGCGTCGTATTGAAAAAAATTAAATGAGTGTTTTACTGCTTTCTCCATACCATTTATTATTAAATATTACTTTGAGCTTGGGTCCTTACAATGAAGGTCAAGGACAAATGCTTCCCCAACCTGGGTACCAATGTCCCTGAAGGTGTAGTATATTGTTGTAAAGTTTGAAGACCATTCATAAAAATATGACAATTTTACTTCTTTTTTTTTTACTTTTTTAAAATCACTGAAAAATAATAGTAAAGGCAAAAATACATTAAATAAAATAAATGCACACTCACTTGTTTAGGTAAACCTGCAAATATCTAATCAGCCAAATACATGTCACCAACCCCCAGGGCACACAGAACTCAACTTGAACTACAAGCATGTAAAAATGGTCAAGACGACCTTATGACGTTGAAAAACAGAGCAGATAAATGGGAAAGAATAGTAATTTTTTTGACTTTGAGCATTAGAAGATCATACAGGGTGCAGTTCCTGTCAGCTAAGAACAGGAAACTTTATCTGCTATTCACACATGCTCACCAAAATTGGACAATAGAACATTGAGAAAACTTTGCCTGGTTTAATGAGTCTGTTTGCTGCAACATTTGTGTTAGTGTAAGAATGTGTTGCGAAAAACATGAAAGCATGGATACATCCTGCTTTTTATCAGCAGTTCAGGCTGGTGGTGGTGTAATGTTGTGGGGAATAGTACCTTAGTACCAATTAAGTCTCATAAAGTAAAGCCACAGGCTACCTGTGTATTGTTACTGACCATGTCTCTTTATGACCATAGTGTACCCATCTTTAGATTGTTGTTTCCAACAGGATTTTGAGTCATGTCACAAGGCACAGATCATCTCAAACTGGTTTCTTAAACATGAAAATGAGTTCCCTATGCTGCCCAACAGATGATCAAACAGTCACCAGATCTCAATCCAACAAAGCACCTTTGTGATGTAGCAGAACAGGAGATTGGCATCATGGATGTGCAACTGATGAATCTGCAACAATTGTTTGATGCTATCATGTCAATATGGACCAAAATCTCTGAAGTTTACTTCCAGCACCTTGTTGAATCTATCCCATGAAGATACAAGACCAAGACATTCCCCAGCAGATCTAATCTCTCCAGCAAGTCCTGGGTCTGCCTGAGGCCTGCCTAGGCATGCGTTTGGGCCGGTGCTTAGTGGGGTTGATGGCAATCAGAGGTGAAGGTTCTGGCCATCTGATCGATGGCTACCAAATAGACTTTTGGTAGTCTCCATCGCATTCCATAATTATAACTTGATATATAATTAATATACTAATAATAATTATAATTTTGGCATGACTTGAATTTTTCTTGTTGAGTATAGCATAAGCAACACAAGACAGTGGCATGTTAGCATGGACCTGACCCATGATAATAATCTTTAGTTGTCTTAAGGAAACTGTTGACTTTTATACACAAAAAAAAAAACAAAAAACAAGAAGGAAAAAGGGGGAAAAAAACAAAATGAGAGACATATGTGGAAAAAATTTGCTTTTATGCTGGGCCCATTATTCAGATGGGGATAATGCTCTTCTACTGCCTGGTTGTTTGGTACGCATGGTCCACAACTGAGAACAAGAAGTCTGTGCAGAGGGTAAATTAACACAGCCAAAAAAAATCCCTGGCTGCCCTCTGCCACCCCTGGAGACCATCGCCAGATCCTCCTGTCTCAGGAAAACGACGGCCATCACAGGTGACCCCTTGCACCCCACCCACCACCTGTTACCTGCTGCCCTCTGGTCGGCACCTCAGGTCAATAGGGTCCCACACCTCCAGCCTCACAAACAGCTTCTTCCCCTGGGCCATTCGCACTGTCAACAAACACTATCCCCACACCCCACCCGTGCCTACCTCTCCAATCTGTGCCATGGTCTGAGTAACCCTCATCACTCAGGCCACTCTGAGCACTTTGCTCTCCATTGTGTGCCTTTCTATTGTTTTGTACACATTCCTCTAGACTTCCTCTAGTTTTTTATTCCTGATGTGTTTACTATTTATTTTTTTATTTTTTTTACTCCTGCACAGTTCGTGTGGAGTACTCTTAATTTTGTTGTACATGTACAATGACAAAAAAGAGCTATTCTATTCTGTTCTATTCTATGCTATCCTATATACCTACTTCAGCCCTATAAGCACTTAAAAACTTAGAAAGTATTGCTTTGTTCCAATCAATGAAGAAGACAGGTTAATGAAAATGGCACTAGAAGAACTTCAGACCTGTCACTCTGTCAGTATTCACAACATGAGATGCAATCTCCACACTGTCAAAACATAAAGGTTCACCAAGTGAAGGCTAGCAAAGACAAGGAAACGATGAAGTGAATAACAATCTCCAGGAAATGAAGGCTCCTGTGTTTAAGTTTGTGTGCATGTGCTGGATCCTGAATCCCCTTTCTTTTTCTACTAAGTGCTGACACCTCACAGTCTACAATGACAGACAGATGCACACTTCAGAGTGAACAATGTGAAATCATAACCAGTCTTGAAACCATAACTAGTGTTGGTTTCCCTTTGTGAGGGTGCACCTGTGCCTGCGTGTGTGATCACGGCAAAATTCAGTGCTGTTATCAGAAAGACTGGAACATTAGCTAACTGCATGCAGAAAACAAATGTATATTAGATTTTAAGGTGAACTGTGGCCTCAATGACGACTTTCTAAATCCTAAATTGATATTCTATAAAACAGAAAAGAAAAACAAAGAAAAAGAATATTGACAGGATGCTGAATTTCTGATCATTTCTGTGTGCGAGTGCCAAAGGTAAAACAGAAAAGATAACACAGGGAGAAATAACAATCAGGCAGGTGTATGTGTTAGTGTCTGTAAGGGAGCAAAGAATTTTACATGCAGGATGTGTGTAAAGTAATTCAACAGTGCACAAAGAAAATACCTGTCAAACATTCTGTCTGGCTAAATTACTTTCACTTGAGCTTTAACACTTTGCCGCAGCAGCATGATAAGACTTTCCTAGTACAATGAAATCAGAACCTACTTTCCCTGAGATTAAATGTAGGAGAAATCATTAAACATGCACAGAGGAGAGCCTGGATTTGTAATAATTCCCTTTAAACATGCTCTCTGGGGATGGTTTGGTTTTATCAGACAATAAATCAAAGATGCTGTATGCTGCCAGGATTTCACAGCAAATACACCAAATGGGAAAAGACAAAAGATGAAGCCACACTTGAACTATTTTGTATAAATTAGTAGTACTCTGCATTACCTACATTTGAAATCTTGATTTATCAGGGTAAAAACCAAATGGACTAATGCACTAGGCCCTAATCCAACAATACAAAGTTACGACCAACTGATTCCGTAATTTAACCTATATTGTATCCATTTTAAAGGTGGTATAACGGATAAATCACAGTTCAAAAGAAATCACTAGTGTGGAAAATTCAAATTGGATGAATTAAGTGGCAAGACTAAAAGTCAACACTGAGACAAAAAGCTCAATGCTCTGCACTACACGGAAGCAATGTGTGTTTCCACAGGAACTTTCCCCCAAGGAACGAAAACCTTTTGAGGAACTTTCTCCCTGTGTTTTTAACTAGAAGATCCTGCACCCAAATTAAGAGAGAGGAGTTGTACTTTCAGAAAAAAAATGAATGTGGGGCTTACACGCTCACTGATGGTACAAGTCTACAAGCAGTTTTGATAGGACTGTTCAACGCATCCTTTTTTAAACCTGCAGTCAAACACATGTCACATATGGCAGACAATTTAAATGGAGAATCCCAAGATATTTTACAGTGCTGTGGAAACCAAAATCACAGTGCACTGGTACAAAAGATGACTACGCACACGACTGTATATAACTCCAAACCAAATGCATTAAAATAAATCTGATCTCTTCACCTGATTTCTGAAGCCAGTGTTCAATAAACTGTACTTAGTTGTTCATAGAACTACATACACTATACTCCTATATAAACTCTCATCCTCCCAACGACCCTGAGAAGGACATTTATGATCTTTTTTTTGTCACTACCCAAAGCCTGTAGGAAAACAGTGAGAATAGAAAGATAATAAGTGACAGTGAAAGCTTGAAATACAGGCCATTGGACTTTAGCTTTTAACACATTTCACTTCTTCAATTTTAGAACAACTGCTGGGAAG